GTTTAACCCTCTCCAGGTTGAATCTGTTTGTTTTCTTGGCAGTCCATGGTACATTCAATACTTTTCTCCAGCACCACAGCTCAAAGGCATCAATTCTCCTTCTATCCTTCCTAGTCATTGTCCAACTCTCTGATGCATATACCCAGGTATAAAGTAATTGTTGTTGCTGTTGATTGTTGTTGGGTCAAGCCCAACTCTTAGTGACCTTATAAACAAAAGAACTGAAGCCTTTCTATAACTATCATCATTTCTCAAAGTTCAGAGAGTTTCCAGAGGCATGTTTAGGAAGTGGATGCCACTCCTCCTTCTAAATCTATCTTAAACTGGGAGTTTCACCAAACACTGTCCACTATGGGTAACCGTTATGGCATTTGACACCCCAATTGCACAAGCTTCAGCATCAGAGCAACACCAGATTACCTCAGTACAGAAAATTGACAGAGGAATATTGTACCACTTAGAAGAATGTTCCTCCAGTATATAATAACAACCAACTTTTAAATACAAAGGCCTTCCACAGGGTCTTGTTGGTTCTAAACAAGAGGCTTAAATAAAAACCAAATAATATAGTTGTTGTTGTTGTAGTTATGTGCTGTCAAGTCACCTGCCACCCATCATGACCCTGTACATAGCAGCTCTGAACCCTTTGTAGTAGCATGCAAATCAATCCTCAATATAACAAACTAAAATATATCTCTAATAGCAAACTGTAAAGACAATCAGGCATATAAATATCATGGTGCAGAGCACACTTTTATGGCCCCAACTGAGGTCCATGGTGGCAGCAGGATGGGGTCTTGGATGTGGATATTTGTTCCAGAAAGTGGCTCAGATAGGTCTTTGTTGCTGGTGATTGGCAGAAGGCCTGAAGGCACAACACCACTGGGTTGTGGTAGGGCTGCCTTCTTAGGTGCCTACAAAAATCTATTCCTGGCCTGTCAACACCTCAGGTGACTCATCTGCCACCAGGCTGTGATAGGGATGTCTTCCTAGGTACCCATGAAGGCATACAATGGAAAAGGCACACTTTAATAGAAAGATGTTACACTCATGAACATACTGAATGTCCTTGAAACAGTTACATTCAATTTCAAAAGCTGTGCTTAGCCTGAGTGATGTTATTGTGTTCCATATTGTCAACCAACCAATAGTCTTGATCACTAATGATCACAAAGCACTGTAGCAAGAATTCAAAAGACCATAATGGAAAATCAGCAAATACCCTCTTGACTCTCATAGCCTGGAAAACTAAGGAAACATTTATTGATTACAAAGAAACAAAATTATGACTGGAATGAAGGAGATGAAGAAGAAATAGATGATTCTGTTCTAACATAAATTAGTGGATATCTTAGTTTCTAGTGCAGCTTCCAAAAATATACCACAAGGTGAGCAGTTTTGAAGAACAGATGTTACAATGATAGAGGTCAAGAATTCAAAGTATGTGCTTGGTCATGGTCTCTGTTACCTGTAGGAGAGATCCTTCTTTGTCTTTTTCACCTTTTGATGATCCCATATAATTTTGACATTCCTTGGCTTCCAGATACATCTTCATATGACATCTTCCTCCTATGATGCTGTTTTTCTGTTCTCTCCTATTTTTCATGCAACATACAAAAACCTAGCTTTGTGACCTAGAACATCAAACCTCAAAGAAGCTCCATTCTTGTGATTCTTAATATAACTTCATTTAGTAATATCTCTAAATGGCGCTCTAGGAGCAGAGTCCACACACATAGTTGCACTAACCCCAAAATCACATTTCACTGGCATTGCAAATCAGCGGATCAATCCACAATAGAAATGTAGGCAATCGCCTCCTCTATGAAAACCTGCTTGAGGCTCACCTATGAGTCAGTCCTGATTCAGCAGAAATGAGTTCGAGTTTGAATTTGAAATAGGAACACCATTTCATGACAACAACAGAACCTTCAATCTCCCCTCCCCATCCATCCCAGTAGGAAACTTTGGGTGGGAAAAAGACAAAAGAAAAAACTTCTTTATTTGATAATAACATAAAATCTTTCTTGGCCCTGACTTTCTGGGACATCTGCATGGGCCTTGGTGGTTTTGACAGGGTGGCGTTTCCTGGCCCTGGTAAATCTCTCCTGTCATTGAACCCACAGGAGCAGGCCAGATTTCAGAAGCAGGTTGCACAGATCTGCCAGCATGTGACCCAGAAAGAAAAGCTTATTCCTGGAATGGTCAGGACATTCTGAACCCAACTCATGTCATATTTCTCTCAATTTGACATTGTCCAGAAGTCAAAAGATTGGAAATAGCAAAGATTATGCCTTTGTGGAGTTTGAGTCTGATGATGTTGCCAAGATAGCTGCTGAAATAATGAACAACTACCTTTTTGGTGAAGATTTTTGAAGTGTAATTTCATGTCATTTGAGATGGTATATGAAGAACTTTTCAAAGACTGGGACGCTCCATTTTCAAAGTCGTGAAATCCTGCAGTGAAGCTATATAATAAGAATCAAGAACATCGAGAAAAGCTATGGATGGAGAAATGAATTAAAAACAAAGACAAATTACTGAGAAAGAAGTTAGCCAAAAAAGGAAACTTTTATAATGTTCTTCCATTGAATCTACCAAAAATGAAAACAAGAAATGTCACCAGCACCGATCTTCAGAAATGTACAAACAGCAAGAGAACTTTACAAACAGCAATAGCTCCACACCAACCTCATTTTTTGGAGAGGTGAAAATCTGAAGAGGCTAAAATAAATGACAATTATCAAGGCAATGAAAGAATTTTCAGACTCCCTTTTGTCAGTGTAAAAAAATAAACACACTAAATTGAAACACCTACATATTCAAGAACAAAGTGATTCTGCATGTAACATGCATTTCATTTGAAAAGTGTGGTGGTCTTGATTGGCTCTTGAAATTTTACTACATGCAGACATTGGCGCAATATTTGAAAAAAGAACATTTGTTCAAGTTAAGCAGTCCATTTTGTCTGGTCTACCCATAGTGAAATGCAGGAGATTTGTGATCTGTTCATGCTGCCTCGTAGTCTGCTAGACTTTCTGTTTCCTTTGAAATTGTCCTATTTGCCCTTAGTTACTGTTAGCGGCCAGCAGATAAACATCTAAAGTTACTAGTATGTACATGAAACAAGTAGGTTTTGCCTTCTAAGCTTTTTATTGAGGTTCCTTGAAATGTATTTTTGTGGTGAGGTGGTAGCTGCTGTCAAATAGGCTCCAATGCATAACTGCCTTGCATACAGCAGGAAAAAGTCCTACAATATCTGCTGTACTTAAAAAAAGATCTTGCATGGTATTATAAGCTATTAAACAATATGTTACCCTATCCTCTAGAATATAGGTAAAGAAAAATTCCTGCACCAAAAACCTAGAGATGTAATCATAAGAACTGAATAAAAACATTAACTTACCCTAGAGATCTAGAACTTATACCAAGAATGTACCATAAGACTGTATTTTATTTTTGCTGTTTCTTTAGTGCCCCCAAACTGTCCTCCTTTTTTGTAAGACAAAAACACTGTAGCCACCTTATTCTTAATATGACCTCATTAACTTAATTGTGCACATTTCCAAAGAAACACACTATATCCAAACACAACCACAGTCACTGGTAAAGGGATTAGGACTTGAATACATCATTTTGAGAAACACAATTAAATGCATAACAGTGGGACGTGACTCATTCAGAGAGGTCTAGTAAGACATTCTTAAGAAGTAATACTTGAGTTCAATCTACAGGATACCAGGACATTTTCAGGCATCTACTCCTATGATGAAAGAGTACAGGGGCTAGAGGAAAGCTTGTATAATTGGAGTAGAGGCAAGGATAGCATGATTAAATTGTTTTAGATACATAGGAAGGCATTCCACTTTACAAGATCTAGTGCTAGATTAAGGATTGTGGGAGCCATGCTATCATTACTTCTAAAACGTAAAGGGAAAAGGCATCTGTAATGTGTCTTGAGTGAATGTGAAAAGAAGGAACAGAAAGATCCCTATGTGTCTTCCTCCAGACAAAATGTACCCACAAGCTCACTGACTCTTCCCCAAAAACTAGGAGAGGGTTCTTGTTTCAGATGTCCACAGAGAGGAAGTCTTAGCTCTTAAACTCTGGTTTGCCTGTTCTTCCTCGCTATTTTGTTCTCCGAGAACCTCTGGTCTTGATAGGAGGCTCTTTTTTCTCTCAACTATTGTGAAGGAAGGTTCTGGCCTTGTTCACATTCAAGGTTGCTCCTTTGCAGACACACTCACTTCCTTGTATCTCACCAAGGAGCTCAGTGGACCCCCTTCCCTGGGTCCCATCTGTGACTGTTGTCACTTGGCAAAGCAAGCCTCTTAGAGAATAATCATGCTTTGGCATCAGATTAATGTCAACACTGTTATTTCAGTTACCACCAGTGGGATCTTAGCTTCTCAACTGAGGCAGAAGCTTTCTTTGTCATAAGATGCATAGTCATCTCTTGCTGGTAGTAAGACAGTTGGAGAAAACTGACTGTTTGACCAGCGAGAGTTCTCTGAAATCAGCCTGTAATAATGTCTAAATAACCAACTGACCTTCAGAGGTTTCCAAAGATCTTTAAAGTGAAGAAATTTGACATCTGGCCCTCTTTCCCATTGCCAGACCCCTCTTTGACAGGATTCCTACATCTCTTTGATCTTTCCCTTTGCTTCTTTATATTGCACTGCCACTCTGTGTTTTCCTCATTCTGTCCTCAGAAGAGCTGGCCACTATTTTAAGTAAAATAAATTGTGAAATTTGGAGCTCAGCTGAGCAAAACAGAACCAAAGTTTCATTTAAGATTTGATTTTATAGCTAATATTTATTCATGGATTTTGGCGGTGACCTTTTCAGCACCTTTTCCCGATACATTTATAATAGGTATTTTTCACGTTTTATTAAGCTAATTATTCAGTAGAGTTCACAGAAGACTTAAGATGAGAAATGGAACTGTAGTAAAAGCCTATGTGCAAATTATGAGAGACCGTCATCTGTTTACGTTTCAGAATGCATACACATACATGATGGGCGCATGTGTGATTGTCTTCAGATTTTTCTCTATCTGTGGAAAGCATGTAAGTATATAGTGAAGAACATATCAAAAGTGATAGTAAGGGAAATAAAAGTAATTAATTGCTCATTCTGTGTCAGTCAGGGCTGTGGGCAATGAATGCTTAGATATCAAAAGTCAAGATTAGCCATTTCTGCTCTCTACTATCTAACTGTTTTGTTTATTCTTCACATTAGCTAAGTGAATTCAATCATCAAATAAAGAAGACATAGCAGCCATGAAAGCAAAAACCAATGGTTTTCCTTAATACGTCTTTATTTTTTTGAATTTTTATTTTATATTGAATTGCATAAAAAATCAGTATACACTATGTTTCACACTTGCATTCATTCACATTGTGTTTCATACAATTATACAATACATTGTGTCTTATAAAATTAATCACTATTGAACTATGACTACCATTACCCCATCTTTTCAGATCCCCACAGATCCTTCCCATTTCTCTACCCCCTCCTTCTCCTCACCAAATTGTGAGACCCTGTGATTTAGCCTCCTCCTTCCTCACTCCTCTGCTTCCACTCCTCCTCCCTTACATCCCATGCACATTTTACTAGTCATCTGCTTTTACAATCATGATCTTATGCTCTACTTGCCCTTATGAGACTGAATCAATTCACAATGCATCTTTATTTTTATTGATCTTTATCTTTAATGCAGTCAAGTAGCTTAGTTTAAAAAAATAACTTTCAATGAATATTAATCTCTGCATGGTTTTAGATTGCTTTACATTCTTTCTTAGTGTCTATGCATGAACTCCACATTTTTTAAAAATTCTTGGAGTTTCTCTGTTATTAACAATTCAAAGTAGCATATAAGCAGTGTATTTAGCATTTAATAATATCTAGCATTGGCATTCTGATATTATGATTATTTAGGTGTTCTTCATACGAAATTCTGTTTATGGAAGACTAAGTCTATTTGCTACAGGCCAAAAATGTAGAACCCTTGTCCTAGAGAATTAGCAAGCAAGAGAAGTGAAAAGGGATTATTAAAACAGCAGAATGTTACTTTCATTGATTTGGCTGACGAGAATGAACATTTTGGTGGGCGAATGGAATATCTTTATACTGAATTATCTTTGAATTATATTTTTATTTAATATCTAACAGGAAGCAATTTTTGTGTACTATCCTTAAGAGCAATTTTTGTGCCCACCTATTGAAATATTATATACTTCCCAAATCTTCCTTAAGTAAAATATTCTCTGTGTCTTTCTCCCTGCCATCCCCTCCCTCTCTGTCTCTCTCCATCTTCCCCTTTCATACAGGTAACATTAAAGATGCTGCTCCTGACGGTGGTAGTCAGCATGTACAAAAGCTTCTTTATCATTGTAGGAATGTTCCTGCTCTTGTTATGTTATGCTTTTGCTGGAGTTGTTTTATTTGGTACCGTAAAATATGGAGAGAACATTAACAGGTTAGTGTACATTTATCTTCCTACTCATTTATGAAATATTTTTAGTAATAAAATCATTGTTGAGAATCTAAATTTTTGAGGGTTATGAGAAAATTTAGAAACAATAAGTCATATGATCGTACAAAAATGATAAAGCAATCAATATCACTGAATTACACATTAATTAGAAAAACTATTGAAATGGCCATTGGTTTGTTATAGATATACTTATCACAATAAAGGTATGGAGTAAAGTAATAACTTAGAAACCGAACTTATAGCAAAAACCCATATTATTACATAAGTCATACAGTTTACCTTCTGTTCTTATTTTTTTGTTTCAAATTAGACATGCAAATTTTTCTTCAGCTGGCAAAGCCATCACCGTCCTGTTCCGCATTGTCACAGGAGAAGACTGGAACAAGATTATGCATGACTGTATGGTAAATATCTCTTCATCACCAACATTGCCTCCACTTAGGATCAGGAAACTCTTTGGAAATTCAATAGTAGTGGCATCATCTTCATCATTAAGGTCAAGTGTCTATCCAGTTCTTTTGGTCCACAAAGTTACTTTCTTTTATATTAGAAAATATGATTAACATAGACAGAAAAACATTCAATGTACCCAACTTGAGCTATTGTAGTTTCTTCAACCAATATGTCATATGAGCATTGTTCTTTCCCTCCCACCTTTAACCTTTTTGCAGCATAAATGGGGACCTCCACTATTTGAATTTATTCAGTAGAAGTCCATGGAGCCCCAAGTTTATGATAGACCACCTGCTAGTTGCTAGGTCTTCCACATCATCTTCCAAGTCATCTCACAGAACTTAAGTCAAAGGCTTTAAACTGTTCTTCCTTTGGTAACCTCATTTCACCAAGCTGATTCTTCACCACCATTTTATCTTCCAGGTCTCAATTTTAAAAATTTTCTTTTTGAGGACTCCCACCCTGTATCAAGACTGTTTTATGTTCCTAAATCTAGTACATCAGTTGTGGTTGAGTCAATTCTGACTAAAGGTGACACCACATGTCTCAGATTTGAACCTTTCTCCATATGATTGTCAATGGCTGACTTGTAGAAATTAGATCATCAAGGATTTCTTCTGAAATGCCTTGGAGTAGATTTGTAGCCCCAGTCTTTGAGTTAACAGCTAAGTGCATTAACCATTTGTGCCATCCAATGACTCCTTCATGATCTTCTTATTTGTCATCATTGAGTCAATTCCAACTCAGAATAAAACTGTCCCTTAGAGTTTGTAAGGAAGGTATATGTCTTTATGGAAGTGAGCTGCCATACATTTATCCTTCAGAATGGCTGTTAGCAGATAAGGGGGTCATTGAACTGCCAACCTTTTGGTTAGCAACTGGACACTTAAACCATTGCACCATCTGGGATCCTTCTTATATTTCTCTAGATTTCTCCTTTGTGACACATATCACAACTGTAGTGAATTATAAACTTAATCGTTATATGCCTTCAAGTGCATTTCAACTCCTAGCTACCCTCTAGGACAGAGTAGAATTACTCTGCCAAGTGGTTTAGGATGAAATCTCTATGTTAGTGGAGCACCAAGTCTTATCTCCTATGGACTCACTAATCTTTCTGTTAGCAGCCAAGTACTTAATTACTGTGCCAGCAGGGAGCTTTGGCTTAATTAACTCATGTACTATCTTCTCTCTATGAACCAGAACTATCTAGTAGAAATTTCTTGTTGTTGTTACATACAACCAGAACCAACTCTAGTGGGTTTTCAGAGGTTATTGATTATACAGAAAGATATTGACTTTCTTTTTCCCAAAGAACACCCAGTAGATTACCTGCCTTCAGGTTGACAGCACAGATTCTTATACACCAGAGTGCCCTAGAAAACTCTTAAGTTATGTAAATGTGTTATATACTTTCTACTCCATGAGTTGTATGTATATAGCCATTAAGAAGCTGGGAATATTGCAAGTGGGACTAAGGAATTTAATTTTTTATGAAATTATCACTTTAGTTTTATATTGTCTTCACACTAACACTGCCCACCTGGTCTGCATATCCATGCTATTTCTCTGCTGAGTTTGCCTTTATTATTTTGTATTTTATAAAAATATATATGTGGAGAAGAGTGTTGAATATACCATGGACTGCTAGGAGAACAAACAGGTTTTACCTGGAGAGGGTGAAGCCAGAATGCTCCCTGGAGTCAAGGATTCTGAAGTTTCGTCTGACATACTTGGGGCATGTTGCAAGGAGGGACTGGTCCTTGGAGAGGGACATCATGTTTGGGAGAGTTGAGGGGCGGCAAAGGAGAGGAAGACCCTCGATGATGGATCGATTCTGTGAGTGGAGTGGTGAGAATGAGTGTGTTTGAGACGGCGAGGTTGGCACAGGATAGAATGACATTTAGGGCTCTTGTACATAAGGTCGGCACATAACAACAACAACAACATGTGTGTGTATATATATATATTCAACAACATGTATGTATGTGCGTGTGTGTGTATATATATATATATATATTCAAATGCATATATATATATTCAAATGCCCTTTCAATAATTTTTTTAGATAAAATTTTTATTTTATACTGGTTGACTTACAAAGTTTGTATGCATCGTTTTCCAGGAAGTGAATTTTTAATGAAATGTTTGATTAAATTTACATTTCTGTTTAATTAGCAACATCTAGTTAGTGGTTAGTGTTTTGGACAAGGCAGATCTAGACCATTAGCAACATGTGGGCAGAACAGTGCCTATGTCTATCCCTAGACTGGTTTTCTTCTGCTCATCAGTCTATCACCAACATTTTGCACAAACCTGGCTCGTAGTAGAATTTAGTGCATGAATGAGTGTAAACAGAATTTACCAAATTCAACATAATAGGAGGCATAACTGAGTAAATTCTAAATAAATACAATGTATGTAGAGTATTAGGAGAATATAAAGAAAGAGAAGAGCTGGTTTGTTGTGGTGGTTTTGGCAGTTTTTTTGTTTTGTAGGGTTTTTATAAATCCCCTAGCTGGGATAACCTACAACACTTTCTCAGAGTGGATGGCATTTAACTCAATAATAATACTACTCTTGATTTTGAATTCTCTGGTGGCACAATTTGTAGAGAGTGGTGCTGTTAAGCCAAAGGCTCTAGAAGTTCAAATCCACCAGCAGCTCCACCTTCACCACTAGGAGAGAGATAACTAATCTTCTCTTATGCAATTTATGGCCTTGGATCCCATTGGAGGGTCAGCTATGAGTTGGTTCCAAATAAAAGGCAGTAAGTTTTAGAGAGCTTTGCCTTAACATCTGATGTCAATGCTTCAGGAATAGATTGCTCCTAACTGCTTAAACAATTTCTAGGTGAATTTGGTATGCATAAGCTTTAACTTATTATTTATGTATTTTTTAAAAACCATGTTTCCATGTGGAGACTTTATACAATTTGCATCACAGTGACCTCTTCTCCTATAGAGTTGGTGAAAGTGACAAAAAAGCATGTTTAGTTGAGAGAATCATTTCCTTTCTACTGTAATTCTTAACACTACAATAAATTTGGCTTCTTCAGAGCTAAAAGCACAGGAAAATGAAATATTCCTTTTGATTTTTCTGCTGATCATGTTCCAGTGTCTGTGGTTTGGGAAGGATTGCTTTGATGTTAATTATATTTTGTGTAGTGAGGACTGTGTTCATTAACACAGGCCGTTAACAGAAATTTGTATTCTTCTCTATTTTCATCCTCTCTTCCCCCAACTGCCCCAAAGGTTCAGCCTCCCTTTTGTACTCCAGATGAATTTACATACTGGGCAACAGACTGTGGAAATTATGCCGGAGCACTTATGTATTTCTGCTCATTTTATGTCATCATTGCCTACATCATGCTAAATCTGCTCGTAGGTATGTCGTTGAGTATTTTTTAATCTCTTTAAATTCAGGTACTTAGATAATTATGTACAATTTTCAAGTAATTATCCTGGATTGCTTGGGGTGGGTGTTTCACAGCATTAATTATAAATTGTTGCCTCTCAATCCAGAAGCTGAAAAGACCTTTGAAAGGTATGTAAATGACAGTTGATTGCAATTTCAAGAGTTGTCCTATTTATTATGGTCATTAATTTCAAAAGAGCTCTTCTCATAGATTGAGTTGGACAAATATCAGGGAGGGCTACCTTTACAGGCTCCAAATGTCACATTTATATTTTTGGGAGATATACTTTGGATACCCAGCTTTTGGGGACACACCGAACTCAATTTGACCTTTAAAAGCTGCCCTGGAACTTCCAAATAAGAGTAAAAGCCAGCTGGCATAAATAGCTAGATTCACAGAATGTGTGTTTGTGCTCATGACCCTCATGTTTTGGAAAGACAAGAAATGGATAAATAGCTCAGTCCAAGTGCACAACATGCCAACTTAGAAACCAAACTGAAAAATATGGCTTATAATGTAAGTGGTAAAATACATTGTTTATAAGAGGTGTTTTACATTTTTCTAAAGAGTTTAAAATTTGTAAAACTTACGTAACTTCTAAATGTTTATCTTCTTACCCCCCATAGCTATAATTGTGGAGAATTTCTCCTTGTTTTATTCCACTGAGGAGGACCAACTTTTGAGTTATAATGACCTTCGTCATTTTCAAATCATATGGAATATGGTGGATGATAAAAGGGAGGTAAGGGAGTAGATTGCTATTCCACACCTTGTCCTTCCCCCCTGCCCCAGTCATCTTTTTGCCATGTTGACTTGAGCATTTAGGTGGTTTGTTGTTGGAAAGTGCATGTATTGAATTGGAATGGCCATTTCGGAACTGTAGGAATCTGACATTGGCACGTCAACAGAATGTTCTAAGGCAGGAGGAAAAGGGCAACCAGAAAGGGTTCCCCCTCATGTTACTTCCAATCATAAACATCCTTTTCCTCCTCCAAACTTTCAGAGAGTCAGTCAGGGGAAGAAGCCAAAGCATTTCTGAAGAATGCAACGTGGGGTTTAGGGCAAGTAGAAGAGTAAAATAAAAACTTCCAAAGGACAGTATATTAAGTACTCATTACTTCCTTCAGTCTAAGACAACCATCCTAGTTAAAAGGACAAATCACTGAAAAATCAGCTTTTCCTGTAATCTCTCACCTAAATCACCTCTTTTTTTCTTTAAAAAAATTACTTAGTGCTTTAGTGTGTCAAAAATATCCTCAATAAAATTAAGGGTTCAGACTTACATAAACCATTGTTCTGGTTATATACCTAAATGTTGAGGCTCCTACACAAATCTTTGTGTTGTTGGAGAAGAGTCCTGATAATCTATCCTATGGCTACCAAAAGGACAAACAAATGGGTCTTGGAAAAAATGCAGCCAGAGTGCTTCTTGAAGGCAAGAATAGTGAAGCTTCATCTCACATACTGTGGGCATGTTGTTAGGAGGGGCTAGTCTTTGGAAAAGGACATCATGGTTTGAAAGGTGGAGGGCCAGCAAAAGGTGGGAAGACTCTTAATAAAATGGACTGGCACATAGACTAATTATGGGCTCAAGTACGTCAGGAAGGGTCAGGGTGGCATAGGACAGGACAAGTTCAGACACATTGTTGATAAAGTTGCTATGTGTGTAGTCTACTTGACACATTTTAACAACAACAACATAAAACAAACAGTAAACTATAAAGTATATTTTGCAATAAACTAAAGGATGACAACATTTTGACAACAACAACACAAAACAAACAGTAAACTATAAAGTATATTTTGCAATAAATAAACTAAAGGTTGATTCTTTTTTTTTTTAAGGTTGATTCTTACAGGACATCAAAGAGTATTTGTTGTTGTTGTTGTTGTTATACGTCATAGAGTCTCCTGTGACTCAGAACAACCTTATGTACAAGAGCTCTGAACTCTGCCCTATCCTGAGCAAGTCTCACTGACTCAAACACACCTAATCCCATCGCCCAGATACTGGCCATCTCATCCAGGGTCTTCCTTTCCTCTACTGTCCCTCCACTCCTCCAAGCAGGATATCCTTCTCCAAGGACTGGTCCCTTCAGGTCACATGCCTTGCCTCTAAGGAGAAACTTGACTTCATCTTTTCTAAAATAGACCTGGTGCTTTTCTTTCTTTCTTTGTTCTTCTGACTGGCCATGGTATATTAAATATTCTTCTCCGGCACCACAACTCAGAGATAGTTATTCTTGTTCTGTCATTCTTAGTCATTGTGCAGCTCTCTGATGCATGGCAAGTAATTGTGAAGACTATGGCCTGGTAAGGCACACCTTAGTCTCTAGACTGACAACATTGAGGTCCCTAACAGTAGATTTCCCCATTGCTATTAATCTTTTGATATCCTGACCGCTGGTGCCAAGAGTGTTGATTATGGATCTGAGCAAGCTAACATGATTAACAACTTCAATCTCTTCTCCATCACAAATTAGTTAAAAGGGATATCTCTCAGAACTTAATGCAGTTGAATCCGAACAGATGCATAGCTGACCCTCCTCTGGGTTTTCTTTGGCTGTAAGTTGCATGGGACAAATGTTTCATCTTTCTTTTATGAAGTTGCTGATAGATTGGAACCATCAGAGAGCCTGTGGGTAGCAGCACAACTTCCTATGGACTAAACCACCAGAGTTGCCTAACTAGGGCCTTGACAACACTCTAGCAGAATCCTCAACACTAAACATTAGAGATGTAACAAGGGCCAAGATGGAGAAGCTCCTGGACTCACAAAGCTCACATTCTAAAAGTGAAAGACAAACAATAAACAGAGAAAGAACAACTTCTAGAAGTGATAAACATTTTGAAGGAAGTTGCGTGTAGACAGGGACAGGTGGTGGGTAATCGCAATAGCCTTAGGAGGTGATATTTTATTTAACATCTGAAAAAATGAAGACATTTCAGCTCTGGAATAACATGAAGATTGATTTAAAAACAGCTTCTGGAGGCACTGATTGAGAGCACAAAGGCCACAGAGACAGAACAGGCTGAATAAATGAGAGTCTTCACTCTTAAGCCATGGTCTGCTGAAGCAGTGAGTGATCCTCCCTATCAGCCCTGCACCCGCCCTCTCCTTGGGTTCCCTACTCAGGACCTATCTCTATTTGCTGTGCCAGATACATGCGCAGGCTTCTGGTCCTTGTGCTCTAATCTCTGGATATTTTTGTATCTTCATGTTTACTCTCTGTCTACAGAAACTTGATTTGAACTGATGTATATTTCAAAAAAGACACCACCGTTCACATTAAAATGTAATTTTTACTGTTGTTGTTGTGTGCCGTGGAGTGAGGAAGCTATGCACTGCTGGTCCTCCAGGGAGTTGTCAGAAATAATAAATTGCATGGGAGGAGAGTGTCTGTCTTTCTCCCTTGGAGCTGCTGGTGGAAACGAAATGCATGCCTTTGGGTCGGCAATACAACTTCTTACCCACTAGGCCACTAAAGCTCACTGTTGTAATTGATAGGTGTGGTCAGATCAGTTCCAACTCATAATGACCCTCTGTGCAACAGAGCCAAACACTGCCCAATTCCTCATCATCCTCACAATCTCTGCTGTGTCTGAGCCTTCACATCAAGAAAAGCATCAGTCACGTTAGTGACTGGTAGGAATTCATAGGTTACCAATATTCTCTGCTCTTGCCCAATGCTTTAATGTCAACAAATGATCAGTATGTTAGGTTCAGTTGCCTGGAACATGGTGACTGCAGCAATGGGCTCAAATGTATCAGGGACAATGAGAATGGCACAGGATTGGACAGGATTCAGGTCTCTTGTTCATAAACTCACTGTAAGTCATACTCAACAGCACCCAACTACAAGTCAGTCAAATGTGTCACTTGGATATAAGCTTGATTTAAACAAAGCTAGATTCAACGGAAGAAGAGGAGAGCTCTCCGTGGTCTTTGACTCCAAATCATGTGCTGTGGTATCTCCCAGCACCAGCACCAATTACAGCTCAGCTTTAATCTCATGTGCATCATACTATCCAGCTTCCTATGAGACCAACAACTTACTTCATGCTTGTAATTATGACACTCTTGAGAAGAGAGCTCCTATTTTTGTTTTTGCTGTGGAAACAGAACCCCAAGTGAGTCATTCCCGCCTAATGCTAACTTACCAGTTACTGTGCTCTGTTCCCAGGGGGTGATTCCAACGTTCCGCGTGAAGTTCTTGCTGAGGCTGCTGCGGGGGAGGCTGGAGGTAGACCTCGACAAGGACAAACTTTTGTTTAAGCACATGTGCTATGAAATGGAGAGGTTGCACAATGGCGGTGATGTCACCTTCCATGATGTCCTAAGGTATGAGCAGGCTTTCTGCACCCGGTATTAGAGAGATGAACTCCGTCCAGGAACTAAAGCTGGGATAATAAAGACCTTGTGAAACATAGTTAACAGGTACTTTGTTGTTGCTGTTGTTATGTGCCATTGAGTCACCTGTGACTCATAGCAACTCATATGCACAACAGCCCTAACCCTGCTCTGTCTTGTGCCAATCTTATAGTTTCTGACACACCTATCCCCATTACCCCAGTCCTTAGCAACCTAGAATACCACTACTGTGAATATAAATAGGGTCACACAACTTAGGAGGCAAGTGGCCTTTCCCAGTGTCCTGTACTAGTTACTTCCAAGCAGCACCAGTTATCTGACATCCCTTGGGGATGTGCCTTTCTAACTGTCGAGTGCCTGGATGTAACTGTGGAGACTCAGAAGGGCTCTTGGGGAGCACAATGTAGCACCTTCATTTTGCCAGTGAATGGAAGACCTGGTCCAAAGAGTTAAGTGGTTTGTTCATAGTTAAGGGGCCACAAATTAGAGTTCTGCCTCCTTCATAAAAGGCTTCTTAAAAGAAATTAAAAAAAATAAAACTTTTTTTTAAAAAGGCTTCTTAAACAACATGTTCAGGATAAATAGTCACAACTCTATAGACTGGAAAAGGAGCCCTGCTGGCTCAGTGCTTGATGGCTTTCTTAGTTATCTCATGCATCTCGTGAGGATTAGTCAGCTTTGCCATCCCACTTGTCCAAGAGCTTCCCAGCATGAGGATCTGAGTCCTAAAGGATGCACTCACTCCCATCTGGCCATTCTTTCTCATGGCATTGAAGGCCCCCTGCTCTGCTCACTTTCCTTCTCTTTGATGCCTTGTGAGATAAAACTTGTTGCAGGCCATACTCTGGAGAAGCATCCTTACCTTTGATCAGAACTGTGTGGCATTCTCCCTTCAACCTCATGCAACTACTTGGTTTATCATGAGGAATTGTCCTGTACTTTCCACATTATATTATTATATACACATATGTTGTGGGGACATAATTCAGTCACCGTTAGTTGGTAATTAAATTATTGGCAGTCTGAACCCACAAGTCACTCCACAGGAGAAAGTTTCTGACTTTCTGTTTCTGACAGCACTGGGTTTGGATTTGGAGTTTGACTTGGAAGGAGTAGCAATTCTATTTTTTTTTCTTTAATCACTCACTGAAATCCAATACTTCTCTTGATGATAAATGCCGGCAGCCGACCATTTTGGTACTGATAGTACGTATCAAGGCCTCTGTCGCCAAGAGAAATCCTGGATCTTTTCAGTTCACATTACTTTTGTAGCTGTCATCTTAAAGCAACATTTATGCTTGTCAGCATTTCAGCATTACAGTAGGCATTTGACCTTCATGAGATATTTTCATTTAATTAACTAACTCTGGTGGGAAGAAGCTGTGCTACAATGCCAAATGTACACAATTCTAATCCACCAGCTGCTCTATGGGATAAGGATGGGCAATCTCCTCCCGTGCAATTTATTGCCTCTGAAAACCTGCTGGAGGGTCAGCTATGAGTCGATGACACACAACAACAATAGCAACAATAGAGAAGCTCAGACATTACTAAAGCACAACCTTTTTAAATAAAATACTTTGAGAAATGAATTTCAGGATCATTTATTTCCTTTGTAAAGCTGTTTATTTTATTCTATGCATTTAAAATACTATTCTAAGAAATACCCCTGAGACTCTGCTACCAAAGGAGTCCATGCTATGAGAAAATTAAGAACATCTGATTAGTGGTAACTATTTTAATTTGATACAAGAACCTGACAAACTTCCTGTTAGGTTTTGTATCACCCATTTCAGGAATGCTAATGGCATGGGGGTTATGTGTTAAGGTGCTAACTGATAATTGGCTGTTTGAAGCCACCAGATGGTCCATGGGAGAAAGATGAAACAGTCTGCTCCTATGAAGATTTATTACCCTGACAACCCATTCTAGGGAAGCTATGAGTCAGAGCCCATTGAGAGGAAGTCGGCTTGTTTTGATTTGGAATGATGGAATATTAGTGTATACTATACCTGGAAGATGGGAAAAATTCAGAACATAAAAGATCTGGGAGAAGTTCTCCTAATTTATCAATTTTCCTTTCCACTATTTATATCTCTCAGGGAACAAATAAAAAAACAGAAAAAGGTAAAACAAGAAAAACATAGCAACAAGAAATCAAAGCATGGCTTTCAGAATGTTAAATTCCTAATCTTTTCTATTTGTGACCAAAAGAAAAAAAATTGTTTATGCTGAAAATGGAATAACACAATCATGCTATTGTTAACAGCACACACATTTTTAGAAGACATTTAATCTAATCTAATTCAGTGAATACTTTTATAAAAATTGATCCAAGACAAAATCATCAGTGGTTGATTTTTCCTGAGGATGAATAAGGGTGACAGAAGAATTGATGCCTTTGAGCTGCAGCATTGGAGAAAAGCACTGAACATTCCATGGACTGCCAAAAGAACGAACAACTATGTCTTGGAGAGGGTGCAGCTAGAGTGCTCTTTGGAGGCAAAGATGATCAGGCTTCACCTCACGTGCTTCAGTCATGTTACTAGGAGGGGCTATTTCTTGGAGAGGGACATGATGCTTGGAAGGGTGGAGGGTCAGGGAAGGAGAGGAAGATCTTCAACCAGATGAATTGATATGGTGACTGCTGCAATGGGCTCTAGTGTGTCAGGAAGTGTGAGAATGGCATGGGATAGAACAGGGTTCAGATCTGTTGCTCATAGGGTCACTATGGGTCTACTGACTTGATGGCACCTAACAATAACATTTTAAAAACTTCATTGTTTGCCTTATTCTTATTTCTCTACCCCAATATACAATGGGGAGGGGGTAAAATAAGCAAGCTTGAAATTCTTTATTAGTCAAAGAAGAAGAATATCCAACATATTTTTTCCTCAATTGTGGCAAAGAACTTAACCTAAAGTGGAGGCATGTACCAGTGCTACAGGAGGAAGGGGCCATCAAGGGCTTTTCATGTTGGGATTTGGGCTTTCAAGGTGGAACTGAGTTCACGGCCAAGGGTATGCAGAGACTGAGCCTTAACCTCTAATCCTGTGATGCAGCAAACAGTGAGAAGGGTTAGCCCCTCCTTTGGCTGTGGCCTTCTCAAGTCTGGACACACTGAGAGATGTCTCATTGCCTGGAGTCCTGATTCCAAAGGTCTACCATCTAAGCACCTTTTTTTCACTCTTTTGGTACATTGTGGGAAAGGTTAAACAGAGGTGTTTCTTAAACCCTGGCTTTGTATACATCTAAAACCAAAGAGTAAGACAAAATAAGAGAAAATGGAGAGGGGTGGGGGGAATACGCATTACCCATAGACAGTATATTGAGCTCCAATCTGAGCCAAGAGTAAAGAAAGTATGGAGGGATCATTCTTCTTTTTATAAGAGGATCACAGAGCCTTTGTTTCAGTGGCTAACAATGGAGCCTAGCCTATATTTTTTATAACAAAGTCACTTATTGTCGTAAGTACTTTGTAAGTATTGACCCAATCCTTTAATATAGAAACTATCCCTGTTATCTCCATTTTTACAAATATGGAAGTGAAACAAAGATGTTTTATCACTTGCTCAAGGTTGCTTAGCTAGAAAGGAGTAATATCAGAAGGTCACATTGTAGGGTTAACTAATGGACTTTCTGAATATTGAAACATCTCAAAGAGCCTGAATCTCAGATGCATTGAGCCCAAGTCTGCTGTTGTGCTTTCTCTAAAAGCATGCTCTCCTACCGATCGGTTGATATTCGGAAAAGTTTGCAATTGGAAGAACTCCTTGCCAGGGAGCAACTGGAGTACACCATAGAGGAGGAAGTGGCTAAGCAGACCATACGCATGTGGCTGAAAAAGTGCTTAAAGCGCATCAGAGCAGTGAGTAGAGCAAGAAGCCTTGGATTTTTCTTTCTTTTTTTTTTTGTTAAAGAAAAGACCTTTATGAACAATAGCTTCAAGTCTTTTTGTAGTTAGTTTTGCACCTTTTCTTCAATTATCTCAACTCCCTTCAAATGACGTTCAAATAATGACTCAAACCTTAACTCCTGCCCAAATCCAGGTCTTACTCTCTTTAGTGAAGTACCTGGGAAGTTTCAATGGGACCATATTTGTCTAAAGTAATATGAATTTTTTTAAAAAGTGTTTTATTTGCATTAAAATATTTATGATCTCCATTGATTATTAAGCTCAAGAGTTTAAGATTTCCAAATCTCTGGCAATGGAATTTACAAAGCCACTTTTGAATTGCTTCTAAAAATCTTCCACCACACTGTTGTTTGGTCTTTAATTAAAGGCCACTACTTCTTTGTATGTATTGATTTTGTTTGCTGGTTCCTGAACTTTAACTTCATAAGGTTCTTCGATTCATAAAGCAGTGGGCATCTATCATATCAGCATGCACTGTTTACAGTGGCACTTCTATTTTATTAGAGAGTTACTTTATGAACATTTTTAAACACACACGAGGGAAATATCAAATTAATCACCAAACATTTGAGAAGTAACTTTTGTATCCTATTCCTCTTTATAACATCAACTAGAGAAAACATCTCTTTTTCGAAGGAGAAAAAGTCACCAGAGAAGTGAAACCTCTTAGTCTCCAGTAGTTTGGCCAACCACTCACAGGCACTGCTCACAGCAGGCCCACCATAGCTCTGCTAGCCCCAGTGGTCATATCTGAGCCCCTGGGACCTGAGAGGACACAGGAGCCCTGATTCACCACCAGACTTTCCAACCTTTGTATGTACCAAGACACATGTCCCATTGTATGTCCCGTTGAGTTGGCCTGTTCCAGGGAGGAATGAAGCAGGACAAACATTTCCATCCTCCTTGAAAAGCTCTTTGTTTCTTAAGGCTTGCAGGAGAGGGGCAGTCTGCCCTGACTTGATAAACATGGGATAGAGTAAGAAGGGAAAAATCAAAATGTCCTTGGTAATAACTTAAAGATTCACTGTAAAGAAAATACAAGGTTGACCATAATTCTTCCAATTGTTATGCAAAAGAAAGTGAGATGAGAGCAATTTCTGTGTCGTTAAGCCTTCATTTACATAAATCTGATGCTACTAAAGTATGTTAAATATCCTTATGTAGAAAATTCTAAGAGGTTACATAGCCAAGTCTGGTGACCTGTTGGTAAAAATTTGCACTGCCAACTCAAAGACACACAATTCAAATCCACCAGCTGCTCCAAAGGAGAAAGATAGCCAATTGCCTACAACATTTGAAAACCCATCAGAGGGTCATCTATGAGTTGGTTCTGACTCAATGGTATTTAATAACAAGAGGTTACATAGGGCGCTCTGGAGACCTAGAGGGTAAGGAATTGCACTCCCAATCCAAAGGCAGGTAGTACAAATTTACTAGGTGCTCTGAGAGAAAAAGAAAGACAATCTCTTCCCATACCATTTAAAGCCTCTGAAAACCTGGTGGAGGGTCAACTGTGAGTCAATTCTGATGTCATGATATGTAAAGAAATCATGGCAACATCAAGTGGGAGAAGAGAATATGAATTGAGCAATAGTGGGCATGGGGATTGTAGGCTTATTTTTTCCATTACTGAAAGAATTCTCATATCCTGTAGAAGCAACAGCAATCTTGCAGCATCATCCACAGCTTGAGAGAGAGTCAACAACAGGAGCTGAGCCGATTTTTGAATCCTCCCAGTATTGAGACCACACAGCCAAGTGAGGACATGAACGCCAACAGTCAGGATAATAACATGCAACCAGAGGTATGAGACATCCTGCAGGGTCTTCTTTAATTAAAGATAAGTGGCAATAAACAAAAAAAGAGGGCTGATAAGACATTGTAAATAATTAATTACATAATTAATAAACGGGAGTCTCCCTCCACTCTGGAAGTTAGCTGGCTGGCTGACATCATGGTGGTGGTCTCAGGTGGCAGTCAGACAAGGTTGTATAGCCCTGGTCTGTCCACTTGCTGTACAGAGATAATCTGTGGTGGCTGTGAAGATGAACACTGTGACACTGACGTGTCAAATGAGAGAATGGTTACCCATGGTGGACAGTGTTTGGTGGAATTCCCTGATTAAAACAAGCCTGGAAGCATGAGCGGTATCCATTTTTGAAATAGCTTGCCTCTGGAAACCCTATGAACCTGGAGAAAGGATGAAAGTTATACAAGTGTCCAGGTCTTTTGTTCATAGGGTTGTTATGAGTTGCCTACAACTTGACAACACTTAACAACTAACAACAAGAATTAATAAATGGAAAATTATTATTAATAAATAATAAGTGGCTATTAATGTTGTAAAACAAATAAAAGTAGATGGATGCTAGTCACATATACATACACATTTCAAGCAAGATAATAACCTTCCTAATAGGATTTTTTTTTTCAACTGAAAACAACAGTGGGAACATGTTTGTTCTCAACAATGGGAATTCTCATGTCTTTACCTTTCAGGAAAACATTTAGGTTGGTTCAAAAGGTCCTGATTTTTGTGTTCATTTATTAATGCAAAGAACTTAATGCTTAAAACTTAATACTTCTGTTGATTTTTGTCTAAAGAGTTAGCAGCATGGTTGAAAGGACCCAATGTGTATGTCAAGTTGACATGGCTCAGGAGAACAGAGTAGGCATAAACTCCTGCCCTGCTTTCTTCCCCTCCCTGTGTTGTAGAAAGCTGGAGTCAAATCAGGGAAAATGATTGTATATATTTTTCATGACTTACACTATATGCAGTTGGGCATCAGAGTAGCAGAGGAGGATCAGCTTGAGTACCTTCTTTTTACTCTAGCACAGCACCTTTTCATTTGCAAACTCAGTTTACACATTATTTTGGTAGTTTTATTTTTGTTGTTGTTGTTTTTATTTTTAAAGAAAAGTAGTTAGGATCGTCAGAGTCCTGGAGACCCTGTGCTTTGAGGAACAGCTCGTAGGGAAGTCCTGCTCCTTTATGAGGGCACAGTAATTATATGAGGTTAACAATGTGGAGCCAATCCAGCATTCTGAGAGGAACCCTCCGAGAGCACAAAGACTGGTCACATGTAGTAGCACAATAAGGTGCCAGGGATAAATAAATGCTGAATCTGAAGGCTCCACCCAGGATGACCCCTGTGGCCCTCTTAATCCATAGCCCAGTGTTTGGTGGCATTCCTAGTTAGCTCCCCAGACCGAAGGGCATGTCTGCCACTCATGCAAAGACCTGTGCAAGGGTGATTGACAAAGAGGGGCTTGGTTCTCCTCTCTGATGATTTTTCCACTTTTCTGTTCTGGCATGATGGGAAACACTTGTATGAGAGCCAGGGTGAGGTGAAAACAGAGCTGTAAGGCAGAGGGAGGAGGATTCCAGAGGGCCTCCATTTTTAAAAAACAGCTGAACAAGATAAGCAAAACACAAAAGATGTGAAGACTCGAGCTCATTGAGCAGGAGAGAAGAAGACAGGTAAAGCAGAAAATGGGTCAAATGGGTGCAGAGTTTCAGCGTTTCCCTTTGACTTTAGTCTTGCATTGTTATCAGCTCCATCTTCCTCCTAGTGGATTTTTTTGTCTGTAGTTTTGTAATTGAGTTTTGTCTACCAAGAATCCTTTTCCTGATGCCTCAAGTACTGATTTGTAGATTGGCACAAGTACATTGGTCAGCTCCCACTGTCCCACTGTCTTATTTTCCTTCCTAAAATGCCACCATCCTTGTCCTGGGTTAACCAGTCAAGATACAGTTGGCAAAGGAATGACATCTTCAGGTGTGGAAGGACTGTGGCAGTGGGAGTTGGGACCTGGAGAACTGGACTCCTCCTCCCAATGTGCTTTGTTGGCTTTTCTGTGGCCCTTAAGTTGTCTTACTTATTTTCACCCTGCTATGGGCACTATGTGGCTATCTCATTCTTCTCATTTGCTTTTCTTCTGTATTCAATTCTTAAAATTAAAAGAGGGCAAAACCCAGTGCAATCAGAGAAAGCATAGTAAAGAATGACTCCTTTTTTTGCAGCCAGCTCTGGTGGGTTAGTCTGTAGGGAGCTGTGCTGTCAGCCCTAAGGTAGACAAATTGAATCCATTATCTACTGCATTGATGGGAGAAAATGGGCAGTCTCCTCACTTGACAGCATCTACCCTGCTATGAGTCAGTTCCCAGTCAAAGGCAATGTGTTTGAGTTAAAAATTGTAAATGATCCAAGTGAACTCAACATGAAACCGTTCTGAAAAAGAGGATGGTAATAGGGTGATTGGTCAAGAAGGATGTAATCATTGTCACGGGATGTGGTTGGAATGGGTATCTTTTGCTCAATGTGTTCTTAATAACACTAACAAGATAAATAATAAAGAGAAATAACATTTTTAAAAGAGAAAAATGAGATGAATGGACAAAATGTGGGATACCTACACAAGGGAATAGTATTCATCCATGAAGAGAATTGTCATTTTCAACATGTTACCACATGATTTGAAACTTGGGAATCATATGTGTAGTGAAACATCATTCATATAAGGACAGATATTCTTTCTATGACTCCGCTCACTGAAAATATCTATGCTAGGAAGGTGCAAAGAGATCAAAGTTTAGTAAGGTAGCTAAAACTGGAGATAGAGAGGAAAAGGAACAGTTATTACTTAAAACAGAATTTTAGGAAAATTAGGAGTGATGAACAAATCTTTATGTGGATAGTGATGACATTTGCACAAGATGGTAAGTGTAATTCAGTGTATGAAATGTATATTTAAAATAATTAAAACAGGAAATTATTTATTTTACCACACTATTTCTCTTTTTTTAAATAAAAAAGATGTTTTATTATTTCAAAGAAGAATGTTCTGTTTATCAGAAATTCACCAGCAGTTCTATCAGAGAAAGATGGACAATCTCCTTCCATGATATTGACAGCCTCAGGAACCCGGTAGAGAGTCAACTACTAGTCAGTTCCAACTCAATGACCATAAATAGTATTTCTTAAAGGAGTTTCTAACAGTTCAATTCTCCTCCCACGCAGACAAGCAGCCAACAGCAGCTTCTGAGCCCCACTCTCTCTGACAGAGGAGGAAGTCGACAAGATGCTGGAGATACTGGAAAACCTCAGAGGAAATTCGGTCAATGGCGCCTGCCATCAGGTATGGATATCTCAACAATTCTCCACCAAGGCGTTTTAAAGGCATCTACTTTCTTGGTGAGATTTAGGTTTTGAACTTCAAAGTCTATAATCAACAGTGTTTACATACAGTGAAACAATAAAAAATGTACTCCATTATGCCAAATATCCATCCCCCTTAAGACCACTCTTCTCCAAATGTAAGGACAATTAGCTCTTTACTTCTGTGATCTGTTTTACCTCTAGAATAATAACAGCAACAACCAGGAGAACACTGATATAGCAATTCCCGAATACAAATCAGGAGCCCCTATTGGAATAGAGATCAAAGCATTCAACTGCTAACCAAAAGGTTGACAGTTCAAACCCTCCAGACACTACAAACGAGAAAGATGAACCAGTCTGCTCCAGAAAGACATACAGCCTTAGAAACACTATGGATAATTGTTCTACTCTGTCCTATATAACGTCACTATGAGTTGGAATTGAGGGATGTAGTTTTGCTTTGGTTTGGGGAACCAATCACTATTCTAAGTGTACCCTCATTGTTTGTGGTAAATAGTAACATTTTCTACAATTTTCTAATGAGTCAACAAATTGTCTTCTAGGGTAACATACTTGTTTAGAAAGCCAGAACAATCTTATTGAAGGCATTTTGGAATAGATGAAGGAAAATACTCTCTACATAGCCCAGTATCCTCTATATGTATCATTCCTTATAGGAAACTAACCCAAGTCAGAAACTAATGCTTTTGCAAATTCTTCTGTAGCATGGCTGTTCCACAAAATGGAAGAGTGTAACTTCCATTCTGAGGTTAGATTTGAAATAACATCACAGAGAAAGATACTCCCCCCCACTTTTTTTAATATCCAGGAACTTATTTAGGCATCAAAGACAATTTCTCTCAAACTTGATAAAAGCAAAGAAAGGAGTGACAGGAAACAAGATTGAATGTCAGAAATGGTGGGGGCCAGAGCATGAGAAGCCAGAAAATGACAAGCTGATGAGTTTCAGCTTTATCTTATGGGCAGTTAGGAGCCAAGAAAGATTTTTGAGCAAGATATGACACTGGCAGTTTATACTTTAGAAAGATTGATTTGGCAGCAAAGTAGAGATAAGACCCTGACCAAAGCTGGTAGCTTTGGCCACCAATCAAGAAACTGAAGGGACAGTTAGGAGACGTGACCTGGGGGAAATCAACAGTCCTTAGCATTTATGTAAATGGGTAAAAGAGAATGTTGTCAATAGTGTCTGCAATGATCCAAGCCAATGTGTAAAACCACACTCCTTTCCGTCAAGCCAATTCCATCTCACAGCAAATGCCTATAGACAGAGAACTGCCCCACAGGGCTTCTAAGGCCATAAATCTTCATGCAAGCAGATTGCCACGTCTTTGTCTCATGGAGTGAAGAATGGGTTTGGAATACGGACCTTTTAGTTAGTAAGTGAGCACGTAATCACTGTGCCACTCAGGCTCTTGATCCAAGCTGTTCTTGTGTACCATTGAGTTGGAACTGACTCATAGCAGGTTTTCAGAGGTAGTAAATTACTCAAAAGTAGAGTGCTCACTTTTCTCTCAAGGGGAAGCTGATAAATTCTAACCAGATGTTTTAGTGTTGACAGTGCAACTCCTTACCCTTACCACTAAAGCCGTCAGAGCTCATTTGACTCAAGTTAATTAGGCCCAAATGTCAGAAATGAAGTCAAGTACTGGGTCATACCCTTAGCAACATGCTAAGTTTAGGAAGGCAAATGGGAAAGGGGGAAAAACCATTTCTTTTTCTTTCTTTCTCTCTCTTTTTCTCTTCCTTCCTTCCTTCCTTCCTTACCTTCTTTCCTGGGACTTCTATTTATTTTTTTGTTAATTTTAATGAAGGTTTATAGAGATTACCTCGGGTAATCTCCTTTCATGCAGCTATAGCTTTGGAAACCCAGTGGAAGGTCAGCTGTGTATGAGTTGTTTCTGGCATGATGGCACAGAGGAAGAATAAAACGTACAAAGTATATACTTTCTCACTGCTTTTACTTTTACAATTGAGAAAGCTCAGGCACAGAAAAGTGGACTTGTCTTCTGGGACATCTCTGAGTGGATTAAAGATTAAAATGGATCACAGAGATGGAACCTAAAACCACAACTGTGAGATTCTCAAGTGTGTTAACACATTTATCAGATTATACTGCCTTTTTTTACCTGTGAATTGGACAGATCAAAGTCCTGAGTCATATTTTAAACAGAGATTCACTTTTTTTTTTTTACCTAGATAACACTGAAATGTCTTTGCACAAAAACCAAAACAAACAGAAAATATCTTAAGTTTATCATTCTTGTGTATTTTCACCTACATCTCTTCATTCCATGGAATCTTACCATGAGTGACAAAAATATTTAATATGCTCTTCGGCTAACTGAAAGGTTAGAGATTTTAATCTACTCAGAGATGTCTCAGAAGACAGGCATGGTGAATCTGCTTCTGATAAGTTAATCATTCAAAACTACAGAATAAGAACAGCAACAAAAAAATTCAGAAAGCAAGAAAACAAATGGAAAAAATTACATGCACAAAGTCACCGCAATTCTACCTGATCTGCATGGCTTGCCGTAGTCAGGATAGATTTGAGGACAACTGGCTGGCATTTTGATATGTCTTTCCACACTTCCCTGTACCTCTTTATTTCCCATTACTTGCTCTTCCTCTATTTCTCCTTTTCCTTTTTGTTTTTTCTATATTTGCATATACTTGAGAACACTTCTATGACAGTAATATTAACCCCACTTGAAAGCTGTAGTAGTTTTCTGTATTTTTCTTGTGATTATCTCAAAGTAGAAGCAGCATTTTGTTTTCAAATGGTAGCACTAGTTTTTCATTAGCATAATTGGAAGCTTATGAAGAATATAAAGAATTAAATTAAGAAAACTATTCCTAACTAACCACTGTGTACAGGACATGTCAAGTGCAAGCATTACCAGGGATATCATGATGTTTTACAGGAATAATTTCTAATGGGATGAAACACCACCAAAATGCTCATAGATTCTTGTTAATTCCACAGCACCAAAACCAATAAGCCATTCAGTGTCTTCTGTCAACTTACGATTTGGAGGCAGGACAACAATGAAATCTGTAGTGTGCAAAATGAACCCAATGACTGACACAGCCTCCTGTGGTTCCGAAGTGAAGAAGTGGTGGACCCGGCAGCTGACGGTGGAGAGTGATGAAAGCGGAGATGACCTTCTGGATATTTAAGTGAATTTCAACCAGAAGAAAACCTAGTAATGTCCAGAAAACACTGTAAAAGAATTGAGACAGAATTGCCAATAATTTCAAAACTGTTTTCTGATCATTTCCTTCATTGTCCAGGGAACAATGTAAGAGGTGCATAATTTGATTCCCACTTGTTACATGATTTTTTTTTCCTGGGGGGGGAGAGGGGGAGGGTTCAATTGATTTTTTTTCCTGTCACAGAAAAAGGTAAAAATTGGTCTATTAAAAAGCTTTGGGTGTGGTGGGATAATAATGTGTGTTCACACAAATATGTACAAAAAGGCAGTATTGATATTAGATACTATATCAACAGCAAGTGTAGATTATTTTTAAAATTCATATATTGTCTTTCTGTAAACTAAGGTGTATATTCATATCTGCTTGTATGTATTACTCTCAGTCTTCTCTCATGCCAGAAGAGCTAAGTCCAAAGAGGCTGATATTTAAGGTACAGACCTTAACTTTAGTTCATCATTTCCCCCTCACTTCAACTAGAAATATTTCTCTTGGGAGAATTTATTATTTATGATTGATCTGCAAGGGTCAGCCCTGAGCTCATGCTAAAATGATACCAGTTATACAAACAACACATGCTGAATTTTAAAAAGTAGGTTCATTTTTCTATATTATTTTCTAGAGGTGCGCACACACACACACACACACGCACAAGATTCAAGAAATCAAATATATTTCTAATCTCAGTCATTCTAAATAAACCATTTACAGCTTCCATGATAATTGAGTGCAAAAGTACCAGGCAAGGAACCTGACCCAAGGAGTGGGTCAGTTTAAGACAAACCTGTAAGGACCCCTAATGCTACAGTGGATTAGACACTTGTTGGCCAAGACGGTGATTGGAACCCGCAAGCCGTTCTGTGAGAGTGAGATGTGGGAGTCAGCTTTCAGTAAAGATTATCACCAAGGAAACTCTGTGGTGCCGTTCTACACTGTCCTAGAGAGTCCACTGTGAATCAGTTTCAGGCAGCAGGGGATACATGAATCACTTCAAGATATTCTTTTGCAAAGATGCCAAGTTTCTTTTAAGATGTCTTTTAATAATTGAGCCACTAGCAGTTGATATCCACATACCATTGCTCCCTTATAGTCAAAATTACTCCCCTGGTACCAGAATTTCCTATGGAAATTATCTTGAGACCCTGCAAAATCTTGCTCTGAGCTCATGATTTAGGTATCCTGTCACCTCTAATTGTACTTGTCTCATACATTAATGTTCATATTCTTTGGTAAATTTAAAATGCAAAATGCATCACAAAGTAGCATCTGCCTCTCACGATGCATCACTCAAGTGGACTTGAATTTATTTTCTTTTTTTCCAGGTGGCTGTTTCAACTTTTTTTTTTTAAAAATCAGAATGTCTTGTTTAATGAGCCACAGAAGTTATTCACAATGAATTACACACTTTTTAATTGGTACAAAGGTTTTAGTCTTCAAGTTTAAAGCTTGAAGAAATACTGTGTTAAGGCCTGAAAAATCATTGCTTTAGTTGGTTTATAAATGAGTCTCTTAGTCTTCCCACCTTCACTATATTAGAAACTAAATCAAAAGATCTTCATAAAATAACACAACATAGTTGAGTTTCCTAGAGCATTGCTAATTTCAAATTATTTCGACGTTTTCACAATTAGCTCTAGCTTTACAGCATTTCATGAAGTTTTTGACTCATCCACATACTTGAGAAATTTTAGTAACTACATTATTCTTCTTTGGTTGTTTGATGTTTAGATTGTTTCCTAATTGAGTGATTATCTCAGAATCCTTTGCTCCCAGGATGTTTTATGTTCCCTCTATTTTAACATTCTTAAAATTTGACGCTCTTTCTGTGAAACGAAACCTTGTGGTAATAGCCTACTGTTTATAATTATGGCTATGACTGTCCTGGGATATTGAAGTCAGTGTGGCCAAGAGGATTTTATTTTCATTTTAGGTCATCCTTTTGTATATATGAAAATAAAATGACTATTGAATTTGTAAAAGAGCATAAAGTGGAATGGCCAATCACTTTCAATACCCCGTTCGGGGTGAGGGTGGGCAGCTGTGGGGGGTACAGTAGGTAGCTGAAACTTTGCAGACTCTACATTTGAATATTCAGTCCATAATTAGTTGGTACAAGCTCTGTCCCTGGTATTCACATCAGTTTAGCACACTAAGCCAGAATGTTCCTTTTCAGTTTGTGCTGATAAAGCTAAGTGAATACCTCGTGCATCCTCGCCTACAATGAGGCAGAAAGGGTGCTTAAATGGCCAGGGCATGGGCCCTGTACTAGAGCTGCATAAAAACGAGATTGATTTCTATTTTTTTGTGGTGGGGGAAGGCTCATTACACTTGAGTAATACAACTTCATTCTCCCAAAACTGCTGAGCCCTTCCTATAACGTCTGTAATTGATGTTCATCAGAACATCATTGTTGTTCATTCTGCAGTGAAGAAAGGGGTAGAATAGCAATGTGTGTAAAGCCCTGTACACTATCCTTTCCAATTAAGTTAAATGCTAATTTAAAAAAAATAAATATTCCCTTGAGACTTACCTCAACTCTGCTCTCAAAGCATGTAGAACAGACAGCAAACTAGAGAAGATAAATGGCACCCACTTACAGATTTTACCCATGGATGCATAGTGACATAAACAATTGGGTTACACAGATGGGAAAACTTAGGCCACAGTGTTCCCTGGTCCTCAGGGGCCCAGACACTGACACTGATCCTGTCAGCCTGCCACCCACTGCCTTTAATTACAAGCACTCTGTTGGTTCAATGGCACCAGAAAGTGGAAAGGGCAAAAGACTTGACACAGAGCCCCCAAGAGAGAAGAGACCACACATGCATTGCCCATATGGCAATTCAAGGCCTCTCAAAGAGATCAACGATAGATAGAATGGCTATGCTGGTGCTATTCATTGTATCCTTAATGACAGTTCCAGACCAAACCCATCACCCATCATCAATGACTGGCTGTTGGTGCCCTGCTCAAACTGAATAAGATAAGAGCATATAAAAAAACAAAACAAAAAAAAAAACAAAACAAAACTAGGATTACAAGCCTTAAACAAAAGCTGTTTCCAAGCCAGTTGAATGCTAGTGTTTACCTCTTTCTTTCTAAGAGGTGACATTCTATAGATGGGTGGTTTTCAATATATTGTTAAGCAGTTACACTCTTTTTCAAACAAAGTGTTTTAAAGGATGCCAAAAATGTTAACTAGGCAAAAGCAGGGCAGTCCTAACTGAGGTTAGAGTGAAATTGGGAACCCCATTCACACAGCCATGGTTCACAATCAGTGTGTAAAAAGAAATCCAGTTTGGAAAATATTGAGCGAGCTCAAAGACCATGAGTTTTGGAAGTCCTGAATCTACCAGTTACTGCCTCAAACAAAACTGAAATGCATTTATGTTTTGCTGGGACTTACTCATAGCTAACACTCCAGTAGGATGTTCGAGGTTATAAATGGCATGAAGAGATTGCCCCTCTCTTTTTGCCAATTACTGGTGGATTCAAACCATGAGAGCGGTGCCACCTTTGAGTTAGTAGTACACTCCCTTCCATCTGTAAATGAGCATCACACATCTCCACGCATCTTCATGCTTTTGAAAAAACTGCAAAGAAGTAGGTTCATTCTGGCTGGGAAGAAGATTATCAGACCCTGAATCACTCCCTGATAGTTGAACTAGATGTCCTTCCACGTTCCAGGCAACCTTGGGAATCTATAAAATACACGCTTGAGCTTACGACATGTGTGGCTGCATTCTGCCCAGGCCTTTGCCCAAGCTTTGGAGGCTACTTTCCATAACATCAACTTGTGGAGGCTGATAAAACTGGAGGGAAAAGCACCAAATGGCATAGGTTAGGTAAAGGACCTCGTGCCGCTGGGACGCTGCTCAGCCTCCTCAAGTACTCCCTGGCGACTTAGAGAAGCAGCTGTTTGCCTTCCTCACACATGCTAAGATTTCTATTTGTAATCTCTGTTCTAATCCTTCCCATCACTTGATAAAAAATGCTCCCAAGTTTGGCTTCTCTCTTTGAACTTCTTTCTGAAGAATCTTAATTCTTCATGTCTGGTCTCTGCCTATCCTACTGCTACTGTTTCGTGCTCAGACCACTTAAGTCTCACTAATTTCCTTTTCTTTTCTCTAACCACCAGCTAGCTTCTCACCTTGAAGACCTTTCATCTAGCTTTTCCTCCTCACTCTTCATTTTCTACTAAAAATACCTTTTAATCCATCAGTATTTAGCTTAATTTTTTTCCTCAGAAAAGATACCCCTATCTACAACTTTCATTGTTCCTCTATACCCCTGTATTACTTAATCACTGTTGTAAGTGTAAAATTACTTGTATTAATAAATGTTCTTGATTTTGCATTATTGGCCCCTTATGTAATTCTTACCTTTAAGTTAACTAGTCTTCTGTGATATCTCTGATGGTTCCAAAGCCCTCATTTTTAGATCCCAGGATTGTACATTAAAAAACTCAAACTCATTGGCATTATGTCAGAAACTAGTCATAGCTGATCCTCTAGCTTGTTTGGGGGAGTTTATTAACCTGTATAATATCTTAAAAAAGAGATTGTTCCTTTTTTTTTACTTCAGACTCTCCAGAGAGGTGTAGCTTTTGGGTTAGTAGTGCAATTCCCTAAAGACTCCACCACCAGAGTTCTCTGGGGAACTGCTAAACAAACAAACAACAGTTCTCAAGCATTACAACCCAAAAGAAACATGAGAAGTTCCCACAATTACTATTCACAACTTTGAAACCAGCTGGGATGAAGGGTATTTTTAAGTTGCAATTGACTTGACAGCCAAGAGTTTGGGTTTTGGTTTAAAAAAAAAAATTAAACCAAAGTACCCTGATGACAAAATTAGTCCAAAGTGGAGTCTCCCAGTGGTTGCTCTCATCCACCAAAAAACTATTTATGCCTCAAGGGTTGCCTGACGGATTTTGGGGAATGTGGGCAGGATTAGGTGTGCTTGATCCAGTCCATGGTCTTCGCATTGTGTGCTATGT